CGGGGGCTGGGGGGCCGGAGCTCCGGGCTCACGCATCTAGACCCGGCCGGCGGCAGAGACGCGCTGAGCCCGCCCGCGAGCAGGAGGCTGACTCGAGTATAAGCCGAGGGGGGCATTTTTCAGCACAAAAAATGTGCTGAAAAACTCGGTTTATACTCGAGTATATACAGTAAGTGTTGTGTAGATGCTCCCTATTTCTAAATGAGCAATTTCAAAATAAAATATGCAATTAACGTAGCTTATTTCGAGTTAAGCCCTGAAGTGTAGATGCACCCTATGTCTACTCACAGTTCTAGTGCACTGCAAGATTCCCTACTCTGTACAGGTGGCTTAAAAAACCCCACCAAGAACTGCAAAACTTCAATTAATATTGAATTCTGTTTCCCCAACCAGCTATTGCATTATGCTGCCTCGCTGATGTGCCTTAACTCTGAGTTGAAGGGAACACTTAGAGAAAAAATGTTCATTCTATGTATTGATATAATTTTTGTCTTCTCTTCCAAGAGTGTCAGCCAGCAAGCAATGCAACCAATATGATGTCTTTTAAACATAGCTACAATAAACCTGAAACAAAAGACAGAACTATGTAGCACTTTAAAGACTAACAAGATGGTTTATTAGGTGATGAGCTTTCACCTAATAAACCATCTTGTTAGTCTTTAAAGTGCTACATAGTTCGGTCTTTGTTTCAGCTACACCAGACTAACACGGCTGCATCTCTATCACTATTCTACAATAAACCTGAGTTGAGATCACAAACTCATTTGACATAGGCCACTGAATAGCAATCATTTTCAGCTATCATCAGTCTGGAACAGACTGAAACAGGCAATGTTGGAATGAAAAGCTGCTATATGCTCATGCCAGTCCCTATACTATTGGTCCCCTTGCTATGAGATAATTGATATTATCATGGTTTTTTTTTAATAAATATTACATACAGATATAATGAACTCTGCTATTCACATATAACAATGGATATTTTTCCACAAAAACAAACAAACAGTGAAACAAGTGATGCTTCCATAGGATTAATCAAAATCTATGTCAGATACCCCATTTTGTAGTTCCATCAGTTGTAAGATGTGTATAAGTTTATATTATAGTATAATTGCAACAACTAAAAGGAACTCACTTTGCTTTGGGGGAATGTGTACTCTGATTCATCAGGGCAGTGAGCTGCACACTGAGATAAAATAGGCAATGCCACTGAATTTTCTTGAAACAAAAAACAGGACTATGTAGTGCTTTAAAGATCAAATCTGAGGAAGTGGGTCTGGCCCACGAAAGCTCATCACCTAATAAACCATCTTGTTAGTTTTTAAAGTGCTACATAGTCCTGTATTTTGTTTCAGCGAGACTAGACTAACACGGCTACATCTCTATTACTACTGAATTTTCCTGACATTCTGAAAATGACATAACCTAGCAGTGCCATTTAAAGCTGCTATTGCCAGCACTTTAACATCCTTTGCATTTCCCTTGCAGGATACTAGCTAGCATTAAAGAAGTCTTCTTTCACCTTATAGCACAGAGAATGAGCAGACCTGGAAATGTACTGTACACTCATGTATGGTAGTCTAAGGGTGTGTCTAGACTACAGGGTTTTGTCGACAAAAGTGGACTTTTGTCGACAAAACTAAACCTGCGTCTACACTACCGCTGAGTTCTGTCGACGTAACTTTGACAGAACTCAGCAGTTTTGTCGACGCTGGTAAACCTCATTTTACAAGGAATAACGCCTTTTGTCGACAGAGTTCTGTCGACAGAAAGCATTATTGCATCTAAACTGTCCTTTGCGTCCACACTGTCATGTCGACAAAGCGGCTTGTTTTGTCGACAGAACTGAATGTAGTCTAGACGCTCTTTGTCGACAGAAGCTTTGTCGACAGTATCTATCGACAAAACTTCTGTCGACAAAACCCTGTAGTCTAGACGTACCCTAAAGTACATTTCATTAGTCTGTTGAAAGGCTTCTTGAGTTATCAGTTATAAGCTATTCAGTTGTCTCTCAGATGATCCATACATATAATTTGCTATAAGAAATGGTTTGCACATTAAGTTCACACCATGTTGGGAACATATTCTATATATAGTCCAGTCTTATCCCCTTTATTGATAAATCAAAACAATAAAATAACATAAACCTCAATCTAGGCTTTTCCCCAAGCTTGGCTGTTTCTTAGACTTTCTGTGTAGGACCTCCTCTGTGCCACTCCCCCATTGTATCTCAGAGAAAAAAAGACATTCCAACCCCACTTACATTCTTGTGGTATATAACTAGATGCATCTGTCGCTATGACTCAGCTGTAATTAACCTGCATTTTTTGCAGAGTTCAGACACCCGGCAGCAAGAAGATTTAAATGAGCTGTGTATCATTATGCAAGATCTTAGAACAATGGAAAATTGGTACGTAGATATCTTTGAGGATCTGGGGCTTAGTGTTTGCCACCCTTTTACAGGTAAGGTGACGGGTTTGCTTATTCTTGTTTACTCTACAGTACAATACACCATTTACCATAATATGCCTATTAGTATGCTTGATCCACTGCTAATGAATGTGACTGCAGTTTAGTTTAACTGCACTGAAGGAACCTACAGGACCATGAAGTAGAGATACCTCTTGGAGGGGTTCCTGGTTGACTGTGGCAGTAGTCATTTCAGGAGTTTTAATGGCTTTGTCTACAGCGACTTATAAAAAATTGTCTTGTCAAAAGTTATTGGATTTGTTAACAGGATGATACATTCCTTCATTCTTGGACACATTCGTTGCTATTCATGGAAAAACTTAATATAGCTCACATGTCCATGTGGGAGGCACATGTTACTCTTCCTTGTTTTATTCTGAGCTCTGCTGCTCTTTACTTTCATGAAATAATATATTTTGTTTTTCTTGTGTACATGTATGTAGGTAAGTCCCATTTAAAAAATCTTGATTTTTTTTAAGGAGTAAAAGTCAATTGGAAGGAGTAGGATCACTTTGCACCCTGGTCCTATCTGATTTCAATTTAAAGATGAAGGTCCTCTGATTGAGTTGAGACCAAAGAATGGCACCTTTTTATGCCAGGGTAGAATTTGGTTCCTAAACATTGCAGGAAGTGATGTTTCAATTGGTACTCTGACCCTGTCATTAAACATGGGGCTGGCACTGAGATGCCATCTTTAGAAGGAGATGTAAAAACTGAGATTTTAACCATTTGTTTTTTAAATTTGCATGGCTTTGGGGATGTTTAAAGTAGGCTGTTAATCAAGTGTTTTGGCCAGATTCCAACTTCAGTACTCTAATGCCATTCTGCATACATGAAGTTTCAATAGTCTTCACTTTCACCCATAAATTACTGCATATTGTACAGCTGTTAGGCAGCTGTTACATTCCACCTCATGCACAATTGCCACAAGGAAGTTCCCTAGGGAGTATTCTATTATCTATCATCTAAGGGCATGCTTGTCTGGGGTTTTAATGTTTATTAATGGTAAAATTGTCTTGTGGTCTGCCACAAGTGGGATGTTATCAAGATCTTGCAAAACCTGCAAGCATCTCACACACCCCTCACACTCACCAAATATTCTCTTTATCTGTGCATTCTAGATTTGTTCAAAAGCCATCTGGAACAATGTGTTGCCCGCTTCTGATCATCTTCATTTAAGTAAAGTGGCAGCTCAATGAGACCGCAGCTGCTGAAATGGCTGTAGACTTTGAAACATTAAATGCTTCTATGAGGAGGTCAATAGATGCTTTAGATCCTCAGAAGCATATCCCTGTGATTTATCCCCATCTGTTTTAAGTAGTTTATAAATAGCATGGTCTTCTGAAGTCACGTTTGAATAAAATTTATATCCTACCGAGGAACTGTGTGAACTGCTATGTTTTTAGGTGCTGGCACTTCAGCTATGACTTTGACTTTTTCTGAACCTGCTTTCACACCATTTTTATCAGCTGTGTGCACCCCTATAAACTTTAATTTATCCTCACATATATTTTTCTCTTTAATTTTGGTTCAGCAACTTGAGTTGTCACCAGAGGGGTTTTTTTAACCTCTTTATGTTCTTCCAACTTTCCAGAGACAAAAACGTGACCCCTTGGAGAATGTTACTCCTTCCAGAATCTAATTCATTTCTTTGGAAAATTTGTGGGGGCTTTTGATAGTGACAGCAATTTTCTTCAAAAAAGCATTATTAAAAATTGCTAGCCTAGCAGAGTCACAGAAGCATAAAGCCTGCCAGAATGCCCCAGCTGCATCTCCACTACAGTGTGTAACTGAGTTAGTATTCGTCTGAGCTCACAAGATTATTATAGTGTAGGCAAGGCCTAGCAGAGATTCCACTCAATTCCATGCCACAGTGACAGGGCCAAACTGACAACTACGTCCTTTAAGAAAGTACTGCTTTTAAATCACAAAGGTGCCAGAAACCTCTAATCCCTGGCTGTGGACCAGGGTTATATGTAACCAGCACAGAAGTTTGTTCTTCATCCAGACTGCAATTTACATTCATGTCACAACTAACATGTCAGAAAAAGATTAAATTGTGATATAGAAAAGTAAGTTCTTAATGATGGGAGCATTACTGGACCAATGAACTTGGAGATTCTCTCGTATAAAAGGAGGAGATTATACCTTTCCCTCCTTCACTGAACTTCAGTAAATCAGTGCTGATATGGATGTATGCTTTAAAAAGCAAACACCGGCCCCATCAAGTCACATCACTATCCATTATGGTCTGCTATGACATCTTCTCCACCTGATTCAGTTCTTCTTTTATTCTGGAGAACGGCAGGATTCACATTCGTGTGGCTTTGCTGAATGCCTATGGCACAGCCTCTTCTTTCAATAAAATCCACACTGATTCCATTGAGGCTGCTTGTTATGACTGAACACTATCCATCTTCCTCTGTGTGTTTTATGAGACTCAGCTCAATGACAGCTTACATACCCATTTGTGGTTACTCCACTATCAATTCAAGTGTTGAATGCATAACAACATGTTTTAAGGCTCAGTGTACACCTAAAAATTAGGTCAACCTTGTTACATCACACCTCGACCTACTGTAGATACAGATAGATAGTTGGAAGAATTATTCAATTGACTTAGCTACTACCTAGAGTGACATTGGATTTATTACAGTGATGGAAAAACCCTTCCATCAATATAGGACGTGTCTACAACCGCAGCATGGCTGCAGTGCCATAGCTGTACTGCTGTAGTCACTGTAGTGTAGACATAGCTCTGTTAGTGCAAATCAATAAAGCTCCTTTGAAGTCAGTGGAATTACAATGATTTACATGAGCTGAACATCTGGTCCATACTCTTTTAATAGATATATATATTTTAAAGCTAGTACAGACTGTGTATAGACTCAGCAACTTATCTGCCCCACTGGACTGTTGAGTCCTATCCAAAATCAGTCATCTCTGCTCCTTAATTAGTTTTGGATTTAAACAACAATAATGCTGCAAATTTGAGATTAACAGTTCAAGCTTGTCCTCCTAGAATGCCATCTTTAGACACAGATCCCAGGAAGCATATGTTACCTGCATTCCTTTGCTCTAATAGCTATGCATCCAGAGTAATTTTTGTCCTTATGCTTCCATGCATGTCTCCTGTGGATGACAGACTTCAATCTTGTATCCTCTTACCAGAAAACTAAGGGGGGTTGCGGTGCCTTTGCTTTTCCCCCATGAAAATATCTTTGCTCTTTTTTGCAACAGGTTTCCATTACTTTCTTGTTGGGGACTTGCACTTCCATGAGTTCAGGCTGCACATCATGCCATTGGATCCATCTGTACTTCTGCACGCACTTAAGCTTCACTGTGACTTGATTTGTGCACAAGCGCTCATTCTACTCAGGCCAGACATACTGTGGACTCAGCATGCTGACAGTCATATAGAGCATTGCACTTTCACATTCTCTTTTCCTTACTGTTACTGAAGTGTTCTGAAAAAGAGAGAGAGAGAGAGAGAGAGAGAGAGAGAGAGAGAGAGATTGTTGAAGTCCCAATAGACAGTGCTCGAGAATATACAGCATTGTTTCTGAGTTTTGCAAGCCAAGAAAACTGGTTGTTGTACATTGCAAATGGCTTCTTGCATGTAGCTCTTGGCACACATGCTGCTTAAAAAATAAGTCAGCTTTTGACTCCCTGCCCTATTGCATTGGCAAAAGAATCAGTTGCTTTTCTTCTAATACTGAACAAGGAACCTTATTAGAGTAAGGAAAACAGTTATCATAGTTTGGGAATGATTCCTCCTTGTGCCAGCTCCAGAGTTATAGGAGCCCTCACTTTGTGCCAGAATAGTTCAGGCTACATCTAAACTACGATCCTCTTGCGGAAGAGGAAATGCAAATGGAGCACTCATTTGCATATGTTACGCTCTCATTTGCATTTCCTCTTCCTTTTCCTTTTGTGCAAGAGCCATTCTTCCTCATTTTGGGGGGAAATGCAAATGAGAGAGCGACATATACAAATGAGTGCTCCATTTGCATTTCCTCTTCTGCAAGAAGATCGTAGATTAGATGTAGCTGCGGAGAGATACGCTGTTTTTCTTGGTGTTTTCAAAACAGAAGGAAAACCACCAACAAAACTACCTTCCCAAATGGATTTTTTATTTAAATAATTAACAGAAGACACAGATTCCTGTAAAAGAGACCTGAAACGTTTCAGACGGCTGAGCTTTTCTTAGGCCCTATTTCTGTCTGTTCATCTTAGAAATGTGCATAAGAGGGAAAAAAAGACTAGTCACGCTGCCAGGTGAACATTTCCCTAGAGAGTCTCCCACCATCCAAGGACTTCTTATTAAACCCAGTCCACCTTCTGCTCTCCCTGCCTGGGTCCTGGGCCAAGCACAGCTGCCATCTTTTCTTCCCTGATCACCATCCTCCATCTCCCCATCTTTGGGAGCGTGTCATGAAATAGCATGGTGTTTCTTATTTTCTTATTCCTATTTTCAGAGGTCACCAACATCTGTTCTCTAAGAATTTCTCCATAAAACAACTGCAGTTCTTAAGGTTTTTTTTAAAGAGGCTTTTTTCTTTATCTCAATCCATAGTGTAATGGATGTGACATGGGTTAGCCAGTAAAAACATGTTGTACATTCCTCTGATTTCATGCGAGTTCTGTGTCTCTCCATTTCATAGTATGGAGTTCATATGAAAATTCTCAATCATCAGAAAGTCTGGTCTCATCCAGTAGCTCAGCCCATTAACTCAGCACAAAGATACACTGTACTCCAGTGGGCAAATACACCAGACAAGCTGGAATCTAATCTGGAAATGTTTAATGGATTTTGCAGAAGTGCCAGTTACTGTATTTCATTAAGTGGGAGAGGACTTTAAACTAAATAAACAAAATTGTCTAAAATGTAATTTGTCATAAATAACAATGAAAACAAATTAGGTTTTGTCACTTAGGCAAGTCACCATCAGAAAAATGAATAGTGACAATTTATGGTAGGTCTGAAACTATTTGTGTTGAGAAGTGGCTCGGTGTATCAGTTCTCTCAAATTACTATTTTTTTAAGTAACTATGATTGTGTTCTCATTCCTTAATTTAAGTCAAAGTTCAAGCAAAATATTGGAAATTTTACTCAGTGTTTTAAGGAAGAGTGATTTGTTTACATCATTTTAATTCCTTCCCCAGAAAAGATGGGGCATATAAGCTCATTATTTAATTTTTGAGAGTTCACCAAAGCCTTTGAAAGAGACCTCCAGAGATATACAGAAACTGATCTCAGACAAGGAAAGTCACAAAAGTTGTCTGAGCCACAGTATAAAAAAGAAATTCATTTGCTAGCTGTACAGGATCAGGTGTGATCCATCCTAGAGACTGCCCTTATAATGCCAAGCACTGCAAAATGGGTGTATAATACTGCCAAGTGTAATAGCATTTTATAACAGCTTTACACTGTTGGAAAGAATTACACAAAATGCAGAGTAAAGATGATTTCTGCTCTGGAATTTTATACTTTTGGGGCTAAATTTTCAAAACTTGTTAGAGATTATGACTGTAGAATGTATTTTTGTGCACACACACAAATGCATTTGTGTACTCAAATCAGGTAAATGCATGTTCAAATGGGAATATATATTTATAATAATTTATCTTGCTTTTTTTTCCTTTAGAGGGGGTGAGCAGTTTCAAATCTGAGCTTTTAAAATGTAGCCCTTTAACACAGGTCAGCTTTAACACAGGTCTAAGCGCATTACATTACATTCAATTGCTCCTTAACATGGGCCTTGTTTATTGTAGGGAATATGAAGGGAAATTCTTGTTGTTTTCATTTACAAAATTATAGCAGTGTGGTAGATATGCTTCAGTTAAGGTTGAGCCTCACTTTCTGTTTAAAGGTGGACGATGAATGATGCAGATCATACATCTCAGATCTATTGCATCCTGTATCCATCTCCAGGGGGCGTTCAGCGGAGACCATCACATTGAAAGGAATGGGACACTTCACACCTCTTTGAGCTTCCTGTGTTGTCACCCCACAATTCAGGTGGGAACTCTGCATCTCCAGCTTCCTCTCCCAGGCTCCAGTTGGTACATACACTCCTGAGAGCCCCACGTTCTTCCAACCATTCTGTGTTCCCTCCAAGGTTGCCTGGGGCATAAAATGACAAGGAGGAGGGTGGAGCTACTCTGAGTGTGGGGACTGTCAGAGCAATAGATGTGATGGAGGGAGAAGTTGGAACAGTGGTGGAGGTCTCTGAGTAGCTTTAGGGAACGTGGGGGGATTGGATTAGTGGAGAAGAGTATGAGGGGGAGTTGAAACAGTATTGTATAGGAAAAAGTGGGATGGAAAGCAGGGTGTGAGATGTGCAGGACGAATGCTTGAGGGGTTTCGTTTCTATCCCCGCCAAATCCTCTACATCTGGGCCCCCTTCAGAATATGTCTCCATGCTAGTCCCTGCATTGAGCCTACATTCCTTTTACAGTTCCTCAGACTGCTGGTGCTATGCTGACCCCTGCCTCTTTGTGAGGAAGGCGGAGGAGAGAGGACCAGTTATTCTGGACAGGCAGAGAGGGCTGAGGAGACGATAATACCAGGGAAATGAGGGGACTACCATGTAGCCAGTGAGTGCGTTCTGTGGGAAATCACTGCCAAACAGCCATGGGCAGTGGAAGGGGAGAGCTGGGCTGTGGTATATTGGGTCCAAGAAATTATTTTTGAAAAAATAAGGAAAAAGGCAGTAAACAGAGTCCTGGTTACTCAGTGTCTCCACATGCCTTTCCCTAATGTGATCAACTCTTCAAATTAAACCACTCACAAGCTGGAAATATAAAACTAGGGTATCATCCCCTGCAATGTAACATTAACTCTGCCCACATGGAGCTGACAACAGCCACTGGGAAGGCTTCACTAATGGGGGGTGCAGAGAATAACTAAATACCAAGAAGAAGAGAGATCTCCATTTTTATGTCTATGGGTTAAGACTGAATGCCTTTCTGGAAGATACGCTTTAGTCCACTAGGGTATGTCTACACTACCCTCCTAGTTTGAACTAGGAGGGTAATGTAGGCATACCGCACTTGCAAATAAAGCCCGGGATTTGAATTTCCCGGGCTTCATTTGCATAAGCGGGGATAAGCGGGCAGCCGCCATTTTTAAATCCCCGCTGGTTCGAACCCCGTGCAGCGCGGCTACACAGGGCTCGAACTAGGTAGTTCGGACTAGGTTCCTGTTCCGAACTACCGTTACTCCTCGTGGAACGAGGTGTACTGGTAGTTTAGAATAGGAATCCTAGTCCAAACTACCTAGTTCGAGCCCCGTGTACGGGGTTCGAACCAGCGGGGATTTAAAAATGGCGGCTCCTCGCTTATGCAAATGAAACCGGGAAATTCAAATCCCGGGCTTCATTTGCAAGTGCGGTATGCCTACATTACCCTGCTAGTTCGAACTAGCGGGGTACTGTAGACATACCCCTAGTTATTAGGCTCAATGCAGGACTAATTGGATAACATTCTCTGGCTTATGTTATTGAGGAAATCAAAGTACGTGATCTAATAGTCCCTTCTGACCTAAAATAGACATCAAGAAGGACTAAAATAACTTGCTACTTTTATGGTGTGTTCCACAGATTTGAATTCCAGCATTTATTTGTGTGCATTCCAGCTGGATGCACTGTGCTAGGTGTAGCTATACAGAGAATTGCATCCACTTGGCAGAGCTATTACTGTGATATGAGAAGAGATGGATATGTCTCTGATGGGATAAGCAGGCCTTATGTCAGCACTATGTTTTGTAGGTTGTGGCAGTGGTGCATAAGGATGTCTTCTTGCCATGTGGCTTTGTCAGCAGAACGATAGCCTGCAGTGGTTTTCAAACTTTTTTCCCTGGTGATGCAGTGAAGAAAACTGTTGATCTCTACGCCCCAACAGAACTGGGGATGAAGGACTCCAGAGAGGACTCTGGGCTGGGACAAAGGGTTAGAATGAGGGCATGAGGGCTACGGGGTGGAGCCAGAAATGAGGGGCTTTCGGTGTGGGAGGGAGCTCTGGGCTGAGGCAGGAGGTTGGAGTGTGGGAGGAAGACAGTGCTCTGGAGTGGGACTGAGAATGAGGGGTTTGGGGTACCAGAGGGTACTCTGCATTGGGGGGCTCTGGGTTGGACAGAGGGTTGGGATGTGGTGTGGTGAGGGCTCTGGGATGGGGGTGCAGGCTCTGGAGGAGGGCCAGTAATAAGAGGTCTGAGATATAGGAGGGGGCTCTGGGTTGAGGCAGGGGCATGTGAGTTAACCAGTCAGTGGTGCAGTGGGGGTGGAGAGGCAGTCTTGCTGCCAGACTGCCCTGCCCCCTGGAAGTGGCCAGCCACAGGCCCAGCTGCTAGTCAGAGACATGCAGCTCTTGCCCACAGGTAGCTCCCCCCATCTTCCCTTGGCCAGAAACTAGCCAATGGGAGTGCAGAGTCTGTGCTTGGGGCAGGAATAGTGTGCAGAGCCCCATGACCCCCTTCCCAGGAGCAGGAATTGCTAGGTGCTTCCAGGGCACATGGTGTCAGAACAGGGACTCCCCAGGGGTTTTCAAAGTGCAGGTCACAAGCCAGCTTTAGCCTGACCTGTGCCAGGTCGTGACCCAAAGTTTGAAATCACTGGCCTATGTGATTGCCTTCCTGGAGATCAGTATGTCTCCGGAATTCACAGGGCAAAAGTGGAGAAGAAATAATATTTAGCAAATCTGAACAGGGGTGGGTTGTCTGGAATAGACTCAGTGTAGGCCAGATGCACATCGACCCTGCCTTAAATCTAAGTTTTGCCTCATAATTCACATCCAAGGACCTGATTCTCCTCGGCCTTACACATCACTTCATAGTTTTTCACCTGGACAAAGTAAAGTCTGTGTGGGTGTAAAATGATTCCATTCACATTTGGGGTTGATTTAACCTCATCTTGCTCTGGTGCAAATGATCATACAAGGTGCAAGTCAGTAGAGACAAACATTTTAAGGTCAGATAGATAAACTTCATGCACACTTCCTATATTATGTAAATAAAAGGTAATTGATTGCATGTTAGTGGGAAGTCAGTGTTGTCTGGAGATTTTGAGTTCTAATCTTGGCTTTTGTTGCTACTTCACTGTCGAGTCATGGGTGAATCCGTTCATCTTTCTCTTCCAGATCCTGTAAAATAGGAATAATGTTTATCTCGCAGAGGCATTAAGAGGACTTATTAGTTAGATTGTCCAGTGCTTTGAATATGCATATACTAGATATTAATAATTATCCTTCCATACTATACAGTATGCCCTTCAGTCCCCGTTTCCAAGTGTTCATACGAATTTTAATTGTACCATTAGATTATATTACTTCTTTAGTCACTTTGATTTTTTATTACATAAATACAAAATTACAAAAGCCAACTCATGGCCAAAGTTACATTATAGTTAACTAAGCAATAGATAGCTTAGTGCATAGGTTCTGGAACTAGAGGTGCTACAGAGGGTTGGCTCCCACACTCTTGATGGAGCGTTTTCGTCATATACAGGCAGTCCCCGGGTTACGTACAAGATAGGGACTGTAGGTTTGTTCTTAAGTTGAATCTGTATGTAAGTTGGAACTGGCGTCAGCCGCTGCTGAAATGGTCAGTTTCAACTGCGGCTGAATCTGGATGCCAGTTCTGACTTACATACAAATTCAACTTAAGAAACCCAGGCGTCCCCAAGTCAGCTGCTGCTGAAACTGATCAGCAGCTGATTCCAGGAAGCCCGGGGCAAGGGCTTCCTGTAGTCAGCCACTGGTCAGTTTCAGCAGCGGCTGGCTTTGGGACGCCTGGGGCAGGGCAACCGGGGG